CCGGGTCCAATATATGAACCCATTGCGGCCCTCAAGTCAAAAAGTTTGCCCACCCCTGATCTATACCATAGTTTGTAGACGCTATAACTTTCACACAAAGCAATCAATATACACTTATTGGGATTTTTTTTACCAAAAACATGTAGCAGAATACATTTTGGCTTAAATTTATGACTAACTTTAAGTTTACAATATATTTTTTATAGCTGAAAGTAGAAAATATTGCTTTTTTTCAAAATTTTCGTGTTTTTTTTTGTTTATAGCGCAAAAAAAAAAAAAGCGCACAGGTGATAAAATACCATCAAAAGAAAGCTCTATTTGTGTGATAAAAAGGACGTAAATTTTGTTTGGGTACAGCATTACATGACCGCGCAATTATCATTTGAATTAGTGCAGCGCCAAACAGCAAAAAAAGGCCTGGTCATTAAGGGGGTAAATCCTCAGGAGCTCAAGTGGTTAATGGGGATAATGTTGACATAGCCCCAATGAACCATTATGGCTAAAATATGGCATGGTCAAGAAACACATAAAAAGACAAAATAAAAGGTGAACAAGCACCTGGACCAGATGGCTTACATTGTTGAGTTCTCAAAGATATTTCACTCTTTCTAAGCCACTGTCTCTGGTTTCTAGAATGACTGGAATAGTACCACTGGATTGGCGTTTTGCTAGAAAAAAAGTATTTTAAGCAATAGTGAGCGTGGACTCAGGATATACTGAAGTTGCCAAACAAATCTTATTTCTTAGGAAGTAGCCAAAAACTTAGACAAGGGAGTGGCTGTGAACATAGTATACTTGGATTTTGCAAAAACATTTGGCACAGTTCGCCACACATGTACAATGTGTAAGGTAAAGTCTATAGGTGTAGAACATTCAGTTTGTAAATGGTTAAGAACTGGCTAAAAGTTTTGACCGTATTAAGAGAGGAGCAATTAATAATTCACTCTCCGAATGGTCTAAGGTTTTTAGTGGTGTATCCCAAAGTTCAGTGTTAGGACCCTTACTTTTTAACATATTTATAAATGATGTCAGGTCTGGGATAAAAAGCGCCATTTCAGTGTTTGCAGATGACACCAAGCTAGTGGAATAACATCTTAACAAATCAGGGTTGCTGTGACCCAGCTGAAGCTTAGTAGAAGTTGGGTGATACAAGACAATGACTGCAAGCATTGAGGTAAATTCACAACAGACTGCCTTCAGAAAAATAAAATGCAGCACTGGTTAAAGTTTGTAGAAAGGGGATTTAAGTGACTTTGAATGTGGCAAGGTTGTTGGTGCCAGACGGACTGCTCTGAGTATTTAAAAAACTACTGATCTACTGGGATTTTCACACACAACCATCTCTAGGGTTTACAGGGAATGGTCCAAAAAAGTGAAAATATCCAGTGAGTGGCAGTTGTGTGGACAAAAAATGCCTTCTTGAAGTCAGAAGCTAGAGGAGAATGGGCAGACTGGTTGCTGCACCATTCAGATGGTAGGGTAACATTTGGCGTAAACAAGATGAAAACATGGATCTGTCCTGCCTTGTATCAACGGTTCAGGCTGATGGTGGTGTAATGGTGTGGGGGATATTTTTCTTGGCACTAGCAAAGTGTACCTAATAAAGTGGCTGGTGAGTGTATATGACAGTAATTTACTTGCCACAATAATTTATAAAGGTCCAATTTAAAATGAATGTGGTCCTATTGAAATTTAACTAAATCTTGCAATCAAATTGCTAGCAATATAAAAATAACTTTTTTTCCACTTGCAACATACATATGTATTGGCATGCATTAATCAAGACAACATATTTTGTCTCTGACAATGACTCTAAACAAAACATGTTTTCTCAACTATCCCCAACTCTAAAGGGAAATCAATCAATGTTGCCATTTACTTGCTTGTGTTTCCTACAAATTGCGGGTTTTGTCTCAAGTGAAAACATAATTGGTCTTAGAGTGGTCCCTTGTGCAATAAGTCTTCAGGGCCCTTCTCAGTTTGTGTTTAAATATATGTATGTATTGTTATATAAACTGTATATATGCGTGCAAACAATAAACTTCACATGTAACTTCCAAATACATTCTTCCTGATATTAAATTGTCATTGTCATCATATGTTCTTTAATCACAATTCTGCTTTATACAGACTATGGGTGATACTGTTCCAGTAAGTATAACCTGCTTTACACACTTTACATTGACACACATTATATCAATACTAATAGTAACCTATGGTTTACTATAATGGTTCACATATTGGATCTATCCATCTCCCACGCTGGATTTCCATTGGTTTGTTTTCCTGGTCAGGGGAGCCCTAAAGTAGGAGTGGATATCTGCATAAAGTGGGAGATAAGTTCCAAAACAGGTAAAGAACACTGTATTAGAAGGTTCTCCTGAGGCTGTTCAATTCTAGGGATAAAATGACAATGGAACCTATCCTATACTGGAAACTCTGGGTGTTGGTGAGTGAGTAGTTCTGCATAAAGTAGTCCAGATGCTTGCAACGTTGACACATCTATTGATTTATATTTATTTAAAACAGCAAACAAGTGTACAGTCTATGTGTTTGCATTTTTGGGGGCTGCCTATTTTTCTTTAGGGCTTTAGAAAGATATTAGATTCAGACCACTTGGTGTTAAAAAGCACAGCCGAGGATGGAGCACTTACTTCGTGGCAAGCTACTAATGATCCAAAGCAGAGATGATTCAATAACTAACTGGACTTAAACTAATATTTATCTAGAGCGCTGAAGTAAGGGAAGCCCAAAAAACCCAAAACATGTTGGTTGTACCCTTGCTCATTTATTTTGAAAAAAAAAAAAAACTAATAGATCCCTCACTGGTACAAGTATCTTTACTTTTTGTGGTTCTCCTCACAGATGGACATTTGAACAGATGTAGTACTTTTGCAATGAAATCTAGAACTGTGAATGAACTGTGCTATGATTGTACTATATCATATGATGATGAAGGTACTGATTAGATAGTGAGAACTTTTAATTGTCTTAGAGTTCACAATTAAGGGACATTGGGAAGTCCATGTTTTGGTCTGAATATCACATTTTTGGATTTCTATCGAGTCTGCGGAGCCCCTTAAAAGGAAAATTAGGTGGTTTTAGTATATACAGTAATTTGTATTTATTATAGTCAGGTACTGTATATATGAAATATTTCATTGTTACTGCCTGTTAAAAAATATTGTTTATAGACAATAGCACATACTGATATGTACACACACACAGGACAATAGTTTAAAGCAGTACACAAAATCCTTAGCCAGTTTCTGGAGATCAAATTATTCATAAGTTTGGGTATGGTAACTGTTAAATATAATTTCAAGAACAGAAAATGAAGTTATGAAATAATACATTGGTGTTTGAAGCAAGGGTTCAGTCCTAATTAAGATGTTGATGATGATATTTCCTGTGTCTAAGAAGTAAAATTTTATAATGTGTGCTATAGTGACAAGATGGTTGGCCCATTCTCTCGCATAACTCTCACCAATTTACCATAAATGTGGGAGAAGATTGGAATTATCATAAACCAACAGTTGTCACAACAACATCAACAAAATTCAGGTGTGACATATACATATATTTTTGTAGGCAACTGTTATTTTATACACTAGTTGTGGTTTGTTTACATCCATATACAGCCACTACCATAGAGGTCCCATTACAGACAAGTCCCTAGGTGTGCTTCCTGCCCCTACAAGGTCAAGAAACCCCAGGTTGTTATATAGTCTGTTTTCCAGGAAGTATCAGGCAGAGGGTGCCAGCCTGCCATGTGCTATGTATCTGGGGAGAACTGTATGGGGATTCTGTGAGTAATGATCCAGATTAACAAGGCTGCTATCCATCTAGTTGTTACTGAAGCAGATTAGGTCTGCCTCTGTTATATTTCAACTTCTGTATTGGAACCCTAATATCTCTGTAAGAGAGAGATTTGTGGTTCATTATCATTATTCTATTTACACAATGCAGAATCCTTATAGTTGTCTATATATATATATATATATATATATATATATATATATATATATATATATATATATAGATCTGTGTTTTCACCTGCATAAGACTGTCAGGTGAACTTTCTGTTAATTGCAGTGCATCTTTGCAGCCTCTTAGCTTAAAGCCATAACATCCTTATTGGTCTGGATCTCTCTTTAGCTAGGATTAGCATAGGGAACGTTGGATAGATTAGGCTAGAGGTAGGTTAGACATCCGACGGCCACTTAGACAGAGGCCAAGTTGCAGTGACAGCCCAGTTTAGGGATAGGGACTAAGAGTAAGGATAGATAGGGCATTTTATCCTTTTAGGTGATGCATCGCTGATCTTCAGACAAGCAGTGCAATCATCCGCATGTTACTTGGACGCCATCACAGCATCTAAAGTGGAAGCGTGCATCTTATTGACTCTCACCTCTCCAAGGGCCCCTGCAACCGGACAACACTATAACCCATGGTTGGAGGTATTCTGTATACTACATGCACATATACCCGGGTATAATTGCAACCTCCCAATTTATGGTAAATTGTAATTCCTGAATGTTATTATGTATCCTGTTTTACGTGGCTGCTTTATATAAACTTTGCATTAATCTCATACAGGTGTGGTGACATGTTTTCATGTTAGAAATATAAGCTGGGTGCATTAATACTGGTTTGTATAGTTACTTTAAGTTGTCTACCTGTTACATTCCTAGAAAGGGGTGAGTCTCCTCAATTGCAGGATCCCTATTCTAGGTGGAGGCACTGCCATTTGTATTATCACAACCCCCTCTTCCATATAGCGAAGGCTCAGGATTGACTACTCATATACAGGTTAGCGCCATAGCTTGTTTGGTGTGGGCCATTTCACATAACCCCCCCCAAAACAGGGCTACATTTTCTATAAATCTAATTCAATATATGGAAAAAACCCAAAGGCTTAACATTTTACTTTTAATAATAATGTTCTATATTGTTTTCCACAGCGGTTCTGCTCTACGAAACAAGATTTCAATAAGACCATGGTGCAGGAATTTATTTTAATCGCATTCTCCAGCTTAAAGCAGCTACAGATATTACTGTTTCTCTTTGTTCTGGTGTCATACATCATCTGTGTTACAGGAAATCTCATCATCATCGTCTTAATTAGGACTGAACCCTTGCTTCAAACCCCAATGTATTTTTTCATAAGTACATTTGCTGTTCTTGAAATTATGTTTGTGACGGTTTCTATACCAAAGCTTCTGGATAATTTGATTTCAGGAAATAAGAGGATCTCTTTCATTGAATGTTTTACACAGTTGTTTGTTTTCAATGGGTTGGGTATGACAGAATGCTATTTGTTAGTAGTTATGGCCATTGATAGGGACTTAGCTATTAACAGTCCTTTACACTATTCTGCTATAATGAGGAAGGAACTTTATACTACATTAGCCATGGCACCATGGGTTGGTGGTTTTGCAATATCTTCCTTGACTACTGGTTATACCTCCCAGCTTAAATTCTGTGGATCAAATCAGATTAATCATTTCATCTGTGATGTGGCTCCACTTCAGAACTTGTCTTGCTCTGATGCTTCCATGAGCAAATTATCCACAGTAGTGGCAGCTATTCTCACTGCAATTTTCCCAGTCTTTATTATCATAGCTTTATATGCTCACATTATTAACACCATCTTAAAAATCAAAGGTGCTGAAGGCAAACAAAAAGCCTTCTCTACTTGTTCCTCTCACCTTATTGTGGCCAGTCTTTTCTATGGAGCAGGTCTTGTTGTGTATGTTAGACCTACTGGAGGGGAAAACGACAAATTTCTTGCTCTTATATACACGGTTCTCACTCCACTTCTAAACCCTTTCATATATACTTTGAGGAACAATGATGTGAAGACAGCAGTAAACAATTTAATACTAAAAAAAATTAATGTATTCAAACACCCATAGGGCCTGTCCATTGTTTACAATAAAAAAGAAACCTCAGTTATACAGTATCAATTTAGAAACCAACATTATCTAGATTGTATGTAGGTGTTATACTCCTATAATTGCATTTTAATCTCTATAATTTTTTTGGGTGATTCCTTAGTTTTGATGGTGTTAGTAATTGGTGCGGAAAAACGTGTTGATCCCACAGATCACCTAAATGTTTCTAAGATACAATGGGCTGCAAACAAGAACATAGCTTTTAAAGATGTGGAACTCCCTTCCACAATCGGTGGTGTCAGCAGGAAGCATAGATATTTAGAAAAAAATCTTAGATGGATATCTTAGTGAACATAGTATTCAGGGATGTGGGAAATGGTTTTGACATGAACATACACACAACACAGGTTCAGCTGGATGGACTGGTTTCTTTATTCAACCTTACCAATTATGTAACCATGTAACACTTATAGTTGCAAAACAACAAATGAGAGAGCACAACAACCTAGTGCACTACCATAACTCAATTTTATTAAAAGCATGTAACAAGTGTATACTCACAAACACATGTCATGTCCAAGCATATCTATCAATACAGATCAACCGCCTTCAAAATCCCCTGTAATCAGTGAATGGTATGGGAAGACCTCATAGCATTCAAAAAAATGTTCCTATGTTTCTTATTAGATACTTTTGATAAAATTGAGTTATGGCAATGCACCAGGTCTGTGCGCCCTCTCCTTTGTTGTTTTTAAATTTGCCTAACAATACCCACAGTCCTGAGAATGCAGCAAGACGGGTGTGTGATATACAGTAACAGCAAGAATAGTCAGGATAGTCCATTTTATAATTAAGTACTACACCTGAGTGCAGAAGCTCAAGCTTTAGAAATAATTAAAGCTGATCTCCACCTTTTGATATACTTTACATAGTTTGTTTGCTCCAGCTTGGCCCAAATAAATCTGCTGGATGTACACTCGGTATGCTGTATATGGCCGCAGTTACATACAGCATAACGCACAGTGTTCCAGGAGCGCGCTAAAACTTCCAATCTCATACCTGGAACACAGTAGAGTCTATCACAGCAGCGCTCAAGCTCAGAGTAAGCAATGTATTTTATGAATGTATACACAGCTTCCTTTGATTGGTCAGAGAGGCAGGCTGATGATGTCACAATCTCTGACTCAGCCAATCAGAGAAAGCGTTGTCTTCATTGCTAGAATACATCACTCACTCTGAATGGCTAAGCGCAGCTGTGATAGACTCTACTGGAAGTCTCGGCTCACTCCTGGAACACAGGGAGGCAGGGGCAAACTGACAACTCATGGGGCCCCCGGGCAATAGGAGATCATGGGGCCAGTTTCCTTGCCCAAACTCAAAAAAGCCTATGAAAAAGGTACCAGGGGCATTTCCTGGGGCCCCCTACTGACCCCGAGCCCTCGGGCAGTGCCAGAGTTTCCAAATGGTCAGTCCGCCCCTGCAGGGAGGTATGCTGTATGAAGCCACAGCTGCATACAGTTGTGATACGAGTGTGACAAGTTTGCATAGAATGAGTGTATAGATTATAATTGAACACTTGGTTTCTCTGTTACGGGGATAACAGGTTATTACAGGTCTTGGTTTTGCACTGTTACAGGAATAACAGGTTATTACAGTTCAGACTTGTTTGTGCAGAAGTGGATGAAACTGGTTTTATCTGGAATTATGACTCATTGTCATGAGCTAGGGCACACCTTGAAAACAGGCAACTGAGCATGAACACACGCTGTGTTCATGTGCTGGAACTTAGACACTGCGCATATACACGCGTGAAATAACAATTTTATCTTATAAGAAGGGGGATTTCTGAGGCGAAAACGGGACTTTATCTTGGAGCGACTGACATGTCTTGCGGTGTTTTCCCGGTTTCCTCCTCGCTGATTGCTAGAAGTCCCCCAATCGAGGCGATGAGTGATGCTACAATATCCGGTGATGTATTGATGCTTACTCTTTATGATTTATTCTATATATGATTAGCTATAACCTGTAAATAGGGAATATTAATTATCAATAAATTTACTTTTTTGTTTTACCTCAAAGGACTTAGTCTTTGCCTATCTAGTATGATAGTGAGTGAGCTGAAGACTTAATTTTGAGCAAGTAAAATAACAGTTTATTCCACACATCCAGCAGCCTCACAGGCTAGTGAGGGACAAGCTGGCCCAAATGAACGATGTCACTGATGGATGTACGGCCATCTTTGAAATGTTAACACTATTCAACTGTCTTACTGCGGCTGCGAGTCTAATCACTGTAGGCTTCTGTAGATATCCGTGGGTTTTATGCCTTAATTCACAAGAAACTCCCTCACCACACGCTGCTCCATGCACGTGCTAACACTTTTGTCTGCCATCTTGATTAATGGTCTCTGGACTGGTCCGTGGCATGTGTGCCGCCTATCAGTAATAGAACACACTTGTCACTTACTACGGCATTTAGTACTGCCATGCTAGCATCCCTTTTATCTGTAAAATTGAAAGTCCCTGTTTGACATGGGACGCGCCTAGTATTTTCATTGAGAGATTTGTATACATCAGAATCTCTGAAAATCAAATTTTCGTCCAAAAATTGATTCGTAACGAAATGCACATGTCCGGAGGTAAATCAGTAGATCAACTTCTGTACAACCAGCCTGCCCATACATTGATGGAAATTCAGCCAGTGCGTGCTGATCAAGCCAATTTTTTGATCTATCTATGGCCAGCTTAAAGCAGAGTTCCACGCAAAAGTGGAAGCTCCACTTTTCTGTCTCCTCCCCCACTCCACTGCCACATTTGGCACCTTTTGGGGGGAGCAGGTATCTGGGTTTGACAGGAACCCTCTCCCACTTCCAGCTGAGTATAACTATATTCTTTTTGTGCACATTCCTGGAAGTATGGCTCATCAATAGAGGGTGCTGTAGAGACTACCAGCTGAGACTGGAAACATCATAGTCAACCGTATATATTCTCCAGCACACCATGGATCTTGATATGTTTCAAAAATATTTTTATCAAAAACCTTTTTGGACCATATTGAGATCAGTGGTGTGCTGGCAAATATATATGTTTGCCCACTTCCGGCTGAATTCGCCGTGGGGAACTGAGCCAGAAGTTCAGCACCCCCACAGCCCTCTGGGACACTTACAAGGTCCCAGAGGACTGCAGCCCATTTACAAAGCACAGCGCATTTTACTCATGTGAGGCTTCACTGCCTGTTTCCCTTACTCAAAATAGCGGTGCCAGCACCCGACAGCTGATTGAAGAATCAGCTTGGGGTGAGGACACCGCTGGATTCATGGACAGATAAATGCCCTACTATTAGCAGCTACAAATACTGTGGTTGTTGACTTTTCACTTTTAATTATTTTTTTTGGAGGTGGCGGGGGATGGAAGTTTGCTTTAAGAGGTGCAGACCAGAATGAAGTGCCTGAAAAATACAACAAAAAGTAATCATAACAGAGAAGGCTGAGATTGGTTTTGCACAATACAAGACTAATATATTTTTAGTTGCTAAGCAATGACATTTTACAAATTCTGTAAAGTTTTTTGCTGTCTATGTCCTGTGGTAAACATTGTAACAGAAAGCAAGGGGTGAAAAGTTAACAGCTTTCACCAGAACAGGTGAATAGACAAGAAATCTTAGAATGAAGATACTTCTCTCTGTGGCAGCTGTCTAAGGACTATTTTGAATGGGTGTCAATGTTTATTGCCCTCTGAATTGTGACCTGCAGTGGATTGCTTTTCAGAGGGCAGTAGAGCAGTGGCTGCCAGGCAATCAGGAGGCAATCATGCCACCTTGCAGTGCACTCTCATTGGCATTAATAGGTGAATTTGACATGACAGGCAGTGACACCTGTAGAACTCTGCAAGCTGAGATAAAATTGAAGCACCCATGAAGCAAAGCATTGAAAGCAGGGCATGTGTACAACCCCTTTCGGCTGTATTTGACTGGGTGGTTTGTGGTGGTGGGCGTTGGGGGGTTGTTAAACCATGGTTCAACCATGTCTTTTACATCCATCTGTCCACCCTTGTGAAAGAACCCTAAGAGGGAATTTCCTATCAATATTGAGAGATTTTCTAATACTTCCAGTTGTATCTCTGGTACAGCTAAGAAAAGATAACAAGACATGAGATTTAACCATTCACTGCCGTATCCAAAACAAAATTAAAAAGTTTGGGCTATAATATATTTCCCCAATTTAATTTTTTAAAAGGATATGGCATTTCAATGAAGTGGCTTGCAGCGTGTGGGTTTAGTTCAGGTACTTTTTTTATAGCAATCTGGAGGCAAATACAGTTGTGCTGAACAGTTTGTGTACCCTTGGAGAAATGGTAATAAATGTACCATTTTTAAAGAAAACATGAGTAAGCAGGAAAAAAAACACATTTGTTTTATTTCTTATGGGATTTATATTCTGTAACTGTAGGTCATAACAGAATGGCACAATCATAAAACAAAACATGGCAAGTTAACAAATAAAATTACCCCTGTTCAAAAGTATTCACACCCTTAGTTTTTTATACTGTGTATTGCCTGTTTTAGTATCAATGGCAGTGTGCAATCTTTTGTAATAGTTGTCTATGAGGTCCTGAATTTTTGAAGGTGGTATAGCTGCCCATTTGTCTTGGCAAAATGTCTCCAGGTCATGCAAAGTCTTTGGTCATCTTGCACAAACAGCATGTTTGAGATATCCCCAGAGTAGCTTGGTGATATCAAGGTCAGGAGACTGTGATGGCCACTCCAGAACCTTCACAGTTTTCTGCTGTAACCACTGGAGGGTCAACTTGGTCTTGCGCTTAGGGTCATGCTGGAAAGTCCAAGAGCATTCCATGGACAGATTTTGGGCAGAAGAATGTAAATTGTCTGCTTGTCTTTTCTGACAACATGCTGAATTCATCTTGCCAGTAATTGTCACAAGATTCCCTGTGCCTTTTAAACCATAAAGCTCTATTTTGGTCTTATCACTCCAGATTACAGTGTGTATTGTAACCAGGTTTTTT